TTATCCTAATGTATCTATAGGATACAATATTGGTCCCAAAAGCAGTCAGATAGCCGAACTCTGTGCAGTATATAAGACCATTCAAATGGCAATAGAATATGGTATCAAAGAATTTGTTATTATAACTGATTCCAACTATGTTCGCAACAGTTTCGTCGAATATCTGCCTAGCTGGAAACGTAACCAAATGCTGAAAAGCAATAACAAACCTGTTAAACATGGGAAATTGTTTTGTAAAATCGATGAGTTGGTTAAGGAAAATGGTTTAACCATATATTGGAAGAAAACCAAAGGCCATTCTAAAATAGAAGGTATTGACAAGGATGGTAATGACTTAGCCGATTCACTGGCAAAACAAGCTGCCATCAATGGTGAAACCCTAAACATTGATGATCTTATGGGTTCAATTCATGTTGAAGCCATAACTAGACGACAGGCTAGAGATAATGCCGACTTAAATGTCGTGCAATGGAGTCAAGAAGCTCCTAGTGAAGACCTGATTACTAGTCAAAAGAATGATTCCGTCATAGGCATATTCTATAAACATATAGAAGACCCTACTGCCAATCCCATCACAGATGAGGATTGCAAAGATAATGAAGATTTACGAATCTTGATGAGATATAAAGTCCAATTTAGTATCATGGATGGGTTACTGGTCAGAACTTCTAAACATGGTATACAACAATGGGTAGTCCCAACTGTATACAGAGGGTTAATGCTCCAACACGCACATGATGCACCTACATCTGGGCATCGTGGTGATAAGATCACATATGAGATATTGCGTGATTATGCATATTGGCCACACATGTTAAGGGATGTTAAGACATACTGTCAGGGATGCTTGATTTGTCCGCAATATCAACCCCATGGTCCAACCCATCGTGCACCACTTCAGAAGAGGGGGGTGTCATTACCCTGGTCTGATATTCAAATTGACTTTATAGGTCCTGTAACAAGATCTTCAAGAGGTAACAAATACATGTTAACCGTTACATGTATGTACACAAAGTGGATAGAATGTTTGCCTTGTAAAGAGAACACGAGTACCGTGTGCGCCACTTTGTTGATTAACCATGTCTTTTCCAGGTTCGGTCTGCCTCAAAGAATTGAGTCAGACAGAGGTAGTCATTTTACCAGCGAAGTAATGGCTAAGATGTGGAACATTCTAGGTGTTAAACGAAAGCTACATATTGCATACCGCGCTGCGTCTAGCGGGGGGGTAGAGCGATATAACCAGTCTATCGTTAATATTCTAAAGAAATATGTTAAGGAGTCTGGTAAAGACTGGGACATTAAATTGCCCCTAGTTTTAATGGCGATTAGAGCTACACCTAGCACTGCTACCAAATTGTCACCTTTTGAATTGATGACAGGAAGAAAGATGGTTTTACCACAACATTTACTATATCGTACTTCGGATCATAACTTGATCAATGCTGCCACTACGCATCAGTATATTGAAGATTTGCGCAAGCATTTACAGCATGCATTTGCTTTTGCTCAAAAGAATCTAGAAAAAGCAGCGACAGGGGTTAAGACCTATTACGATTTAAAAACCACGAAAAAGGAATATGAAATCACAGATCAAGTCTATCTGTATAACTTTGCGCGAAATCAAGTCAAGGAAAATAAATTTTTACCTTCTTGGAAAGGGCCATATGTCATCATTGACAAAATTTCCCCTGTAGCGTATAAGATAAAAATTCCTAAGGATGGTGATTTTATTGAAAAGTGGGTTCACATTAACCAGTTGCGTGCTTGTCATCCTAAATCTCAATTAAGGATTATAGGTGTGGATTCAGACGCAGAAGGGTGAACGACTAACCTGGATGAATGTTTGATTCACGTGGTATAGTATGATGTGAAATGTTGTGATGTGCCATGATCTCATGTACGTTCATGTCATTAACCATTTCCTTGCCATCCAATAACTACATTTTATAAGCAGGTTACTAGCTTGTTTAACTGCTATAGGCAAATTACTGAAGAGTCAGTAATAAATGTAGTGAGAGATGAAGTTATAAAAATAGAATTAGACAGAATACATATGTTGATGAATCGTAATAATGTGTTGTCCTAGGCCAAGTGATGTCACACTGTTATAAGTTTGTATGCTTAACAAACCTTGAATCAACTGTAGATAAGTCTGAAACGAGTTCCTGATCCGTGACTGTCGAAGGATGTCCAAGAAGGATGTGGCGTGTTTCTGGATCGTACTGCTCCTGTGCCAAGAGCTACGGACCGACCCGATCGCAGAGATGGGACCATCCTCCGGCATCCTGATTCAAGAGACACCAGGGTTCATCTTAACAGAGAAGAGGATCCTGACCAGACGTGTGTTCGTCAGCTTGGACCCCAAGATTTCCATCGAGAAGGCATACAACATTTCATCGATGCAGCTTCCTGAGTTACAGACTTGGTACCAGATGCACCTCGAAAGAGCACAGGACCGTGTGCGAAACATCTTGGAGCAAGCCCGGAAACCATTTGTATCCAGTTCTATTCCGATGAGCAACCGACCCAAAAGGTTCCTCACCGCTATAATTGTTGCATTAGTTTGTGCCACTGTCGGTGCAGTTGTCGCAACTGGAATGTCTGCAGCCAACTCTATTACTGTCCAAAAGCTGGATATGGAAATCTATGCGCTAAAGCAACACATTAACGATATTCATCAGGTGATACAACAGCAAAGAACACTTCTCCAAGACGTGTTAACTATTGTGGAAGACACAGTTGTTACAACAAATTTGCATTCAGAGTTAATTGCCAAATCCACTGAGTTGCACCAAAGTCATGACTTATTTAAGCGTGAACTTCTATTTCTGCATGACCCAATATTGTTCCACACACTTGCTTTTCTTGACGAAGTGCAAACTGGAATGATCGAATTGGCAGGGGGACGCATACCTCTGTATTTTGTATCCAAGGATATTGTTCATGCGATGCTTGCCAATGTGGATGGAGAGACAATTGAGCCTATGCAATTAAATCTGGCCTTTGAGATGGGGAGCGCTATACCTCTCTTAATTGATCCGGAACGTATGGAGATTTGCTTTTTATTGGCCATACCATATGTAACTCCCAAAAACATTTTTCAAATGAAAACAATGTACTATGATAATAATGATATTATAGTTGATTGTACTAAGTGTAAAGTTCAAAACTCTTACAGGTACAAATATATACAAAAATGTTCATTCCACGCACGGGCCTATGTTAGAAATGATGTGATTGCACAATATGTCTAGTAACTTCTATAGTGCTTATTCATAAGCTAAATTAATTTTGGCTATGAAATGCACTAAAGGGGGGTTATGTCAGAGTATTTATATCGGCAGATATTTTGTGCTATGATAGAAACTAAAAGTGTATATTCTGAGTCACTCTGAACAGACCAGACTCCATTTTGTTATTTCAAGTTAACAAAAAGACACTATATTTCTATCTGTAAGCTAACCACTTTCCCAGATTTGAGGAATGCATAGTATATACAAACAAGTGATAAGGAAGGGGGTTGGATAGACTGTCTAAAATGCTAATGGAATATAATCAAATCTAAACCCAGACAATTGTGACAGAGAAGATTAAATAATTTAATATTTAACTGTCTATATATATAAGGTACCATTGTATGGAAAGGGTAAACTTAGTTCATGATCTGTCATATCAGAAATTATGGCAGGAATTGCAGACGCTAAGTCTGGACAAAATTTAAGAAACCCTTTGAAATTTTAAATTATGGCGCTATAAAGATAACGCAAAATGACGTCAAAATAGCCACCAGGAAAAGTTAACTCTTTCCTGGATAGGTATGTTTAGTGGGACAAGACTGCCCTCTACAGACCAAATACCTAATTTGCGATCTGGAAGATAACCACACCTCTAGTGCTTCTATTGGGTTATCAACTGATGACGTACAGAGAGTCTGGCCCTTTAAAAGTTAAGACAAAGGGAAGATAGATATACAAGAAAGATACAGGAGAGGAGGCAGATGCAAGATATGCAAAAGAGAAAAGAGAGGAATTGGAAGTTTGGGGATTCCAACTCGGACAACATCTGAGACTAACATTCTACTCCTAAAACTCTAACACTTAGAATTTACTGACTTTCTAACCAACACCTCCATGCAGAGAGACTACCAATCGGATGAAATATCTACTCAACTGGTAATTATACTGGTTTCATTTAATTAAATTAAATTAATTAAAATGTATTAATAGCATTATATATGACTGGATAAAGCACGGTCAGATTTCCATATTAAGAAATCTTAGTTAACTAAGAATATATAGTTATAAACATTCCATTCTGCAGGTGGAATTAAGAATAATTATATATTGATGTGATATTATCACGTGTTAGCATACCGCTGTTTTTATCCAGGTGTATTGATTTGCTCTAAATTAAGATAGATATCTTTTAGACAAATTAAAAATCTGCTTATATAATGTGGTAAATTCTCTTATGGATGGTTTAAGAAAATGACTAGTGAACTGGTTTAAATGTTATTTTATTTAAAAATACATAAGAATAGATCTTAACTACCTAGGAGATCTAGCCAGCATTGAAAGGGTTATTCTAACTGTCTGCTAAACTTCACGACCTTACGCTGCACTCTGAGGAATTCTGTTCTCTGTGTGAAAGGTTTCACTTTCAGTCTGTGAAAGATAGTCATAAATAAAGTCTTGACAGAAAATGCTTTTTAGCCATTGAAACGTAATACCCATTCCTCTGTATTGCATACCATTTTATACTGGATATTCATTGATTATTGTTATGCATGTTACATATAATATTATTATTATTAATTTGTCATTATAAATAAAAATCTATTTTTATACATTGTGATATTATTATATGAAATACATTCCACTTAACACGATAAACGTTCTTTGGGATCTGAGAATTGAATTAGTGGGCAATTCTCACTGTTACTATTATTATCCCATAAATATCCCCACAATATACTTATGCTTATTACTAGGACAAATATACTTATCATTAGACCCATACGTTCTTTCCCATTTAAGACCACCACATACATTCCATGGCTTCCTACTACCTGATATCGCCTTACATGCATCAAATAGCAAAACACCTGGAGAATGTACGCTTTCTAGTACAGTCTTATTTATCAGGTTCCCCTGTGCATTCTCATTCCGAATAGTCAACCAAATTGTACGGGGCTGATACTCAGGATTAAAACACCTAGGTTCTCCTGCTCCTATATGGCATACACTATAATCTGTACCTAGGTATCTACACTTTGATACATGTCCTGTGCACTCATATTGCGAATGCCAAATAAGGGTCTGGGAAATACGATTGCCTGTTTTCGTAGTCTTAATGCAAACCTCGCAGCCTGGTGTGTCGGTACCTCTACCTTCCTGAATAATTAAAAACACACATATATACATCATCAAACACATTACTCCTGACATCTTCTTCCTAATTCTTCGACCGTGCGACGGCACCTCAGCTTCCAGGCGTGTGAGGGCTGCAGGAAATGGAGTCCTTCTGATCCTCACTGTTCTTCACAGAGGATTCCTCTGGCTTAAACGTTGGTAGGTGGTCAGGCTTTATTGTGGCCATCAAAACACCTACTTGTAGATCTTTGTTGATGTTCCCTTGTAACAATACTCTTCGCAAAAACCACTTTTAATCTAACTGGGTCACTCGCTTCAACCGGATCTTGCAGGGATTCTCAGGATCTTGAGTAGCTTGCCAAGAATCTGCTGCTGGTTTAACCCTGGAGTGATGAATCCACGGAGTCACCTCTGCCACCTTTATAGCTGTTGGAGTAGACAAAAGAACAGCATAAGGACCCCTCCACTTTGGCCCCAACGGTACACTGTTCCACTCCTTTATCCAAACTTGGTCTCCTGGATGGTAAGAATGAACAGGTGGATATATTTTCACAGGTAACCTATCTTGTACCCATTTCTGTACTTCCAACATAGTTCTACCCAACTCTACAACCTGCTGCCGAGTAATTCCTTCTTTCACATAGCTATTACCATCCGTATAATACTGTACATCCGGGTCCTGAATGGGAAAGTCATGAAGGTCCGGTTGGCTTGAAAAACACCTCATCCATTATCTCCAAACAATCATGTTTACTTTCATTACGTTGTGGCAAAAGGGTAGCTGGATTCAGGGTATTAACAGTTTCACATAGCATGGCTTGATATTTAGTCATTCGGCTATTACTGAACCAATGATTACCTTTGTAATCCAATAGAGTCTGTACTGCATGAGGTACTCGCACGTGGAGTTCCTGTCCCAGTGTAAGCTTGTCGGCTTCTGCTACCAACAGGGCAGCGGCGGCCACTGCAAAGATACACTGGCTTTCTGTAGCAATTCGCTGGCAAAAGAAGGCATCTTTAAGGTCCAAGACTGTAAAGTAAGTAGCTCCACCCGGAATCAAGGCAAGCAGGTTATAAGGATTTGGCACAACTGGATGTATACTTACTACCGCATCATTGACTGCTCTCAAATCCTGCACAGGACGATACTCATCTGACCCAGGCTTCTGAACAGGCAACAATGGAGTATTCCAGGGGGAAGTACAGAATTTTAGGATACCATACCTTATGAACTTATCCAAATAAGACTGTATGTTCTTCTTCGCCTTTTGAGGTATATGGTATTGTTGCAGGTTTACTGGATAAACCCCAAGCTTTAGTTCGATGCGTATAGGTGGGATATTGCGAGCAAGTCCTGGTGGGTTATTTTCTGCCCACACTCCTGGTATATTATACAAGGATTCATCACTCTTAGGGTTTTGACTTGTCATCACTGTATAAAGTCGCCACTCTTCTTCCTTTGGTACTGATAGAGTCATTATACCTGAGGGTCCATTAAACTTCAAGGATGTCGTTCCGTTAGGCAGAAATGTTATCTGTGCTTGTAACTTCGACAACAAATCCCATCCTAGAAGTTGGACTGGACATTCAGGCATGTAAAGAAACTGATGTTTCACTACGTGGCCTCCCAGTGTACAGAGTTGACTTTTGAGAACCGGTTTAGCAGCACTCCTCCCAGTTGCTCCTATTACAGTGATAGTTCTTCCTGAAGGAGGAGCAACTAGGTCGGTTACCACAGAATGTTCAGCACCAGTGTCGATCATGAAAGAACTCCTTTTTCCCCCTATTGCTACATCGACCATAGGCTCCGCTCGACCAAGGGGGATGGAGCCCGGTCGGTATCAATAGTCCTCCATGACAGTGTCAGCCAAACCCACAAAGTCCCTATCTTCTCTTTCTCGCGGTCTCTGCGCTGCTGGGTAATACCTATCCCCTTGAACGCTTCCTCTACTATTCCCACCATTTCCTCCAGGGCCTCCTCTTCCTCTCACTCTACCTCTATAGTTATTACTATATCCTCCTCTTGTTCTATCTCTCTCATGTTGTTCCCTCAATGGACACTCACTCCTACAATGCCCTTCTTCCCTACAATATGTGCACTGGTTCCTACTTAAAGGCTCCCTATTCCACTTATTCTCGCTTTTCTCGGTTCCCCTGTACACTTCCTTTTCCCTTCTATCTACACCAGCGATAGCTACCGCTAACATATCTACCTTTTTCCTCATCTTACGTTCCTTCTCACGCTTTGTCTCAGTTCCCCTATTCATATACACCTTATTTGCATCCTCCATTAGCTGTGATATGGATATCCCTGCAAATCTCTCCAATTTTTGTAACTTTCTCTTAATATTGCTCTGGGCCAGGCTGACAAATGCTGAATTAATCATTTGGAAGTTTTCAGGGGCTTCAGGATTGAAAGGAGTGTACAATCTATTTTACTCAAGTAGTCTCTCATAAAAAGCACAGGGTGATTAATTAGCTTTTTGTAACACTTCAGCCGTCCTGGACATGTTAATTGCCTTTTTCCCTCCTGCCTTCATGCCAGCAGTAATGGCTTGTTGATAGGCCTTTAAATGGATCATGTCAGCGCCATTTACGTTCCAAAGGTCAGTAATAATTGCTGACAATCAGCCCAGGTGAGATTGTATAATAGAGGTAACCAAATCTGTCATGACTTGAGGCTTATCGGTGTATGAAGAATTATGTGTCTTCCAGCTGTATTTTAGACTATCACTGAAGACACACAGTATTCAATAGTTTTAGTGCTATTTCAATGTTTATGGTACAATGTCATTGCTGAGAATTATCTGATCCAATAGACTCAGTTACTGTTATTAAGAATTCTCCTCACAATTTAACTGTAAATAAAATTCAATGCTAAAATACACTCCTACCAAAAAGGAAGTCAATTTAAATTACCAATTTAAAAAAAAAACAATTTGTACAGAAATACAAGAGTTTGAAAGAAAAGAACAGATAGGTATGTGGGTAGGCGTGGACAATAGAGCAGGGGGAGTGCAAATACCAGCTATACCAGTTTTGGGCTACTCTGGCTCTGGAGGATGAATTGGGGGTTGGTAATCACATGCAAGAGGGGGGAGGTGTCCAAAGCAGTTGTAATTAAGGTTTTAGAGGACAAACAAGTTCTGGCTACCATGGACTCCATTGTTCCTCTTAGCACAGTTTGTTCCATTTAGCAGTGTTTCAACAATCTGTATACAGAAACTACTCGTATAGCCCCAACATATTATTTATAACACTGTAAACCTGCTGTATTAAATCTGGATCAAGGATACACAGGAACACTGGTTACCAGAAGAGACTGTCCTCTGCTACACAGAGTATTTAAATCTTTTGGGGAACAGTGTTACACCATAATCACAAACAGCATATTCCTTAGAAAGGGTTTTTTTTTTTTTTTTTGACACATACAAGACAAAGGACTGTTTGTGAATCAGAAGCATCCATGATTTCAACAGAGCGTCTGATTCAAAGCAGTACAAATATACAAACAGTTTCAACAGTCACACCAGTTACCTTAGCAACAGCACCACGTGGCACAGTTACTAGGCCAAAAGCACACATACAGGGAATTCCCGTACACACACAGCTGTTACACCACACACTAAATAACTATTACTGTACCTTTTTTGGCAAAATTATACAATTACACACGCTATAATTCTCAGTATTTAAATTACCTGTCTATAACACACCCTAGTAACATCGTCTTTACAAACAGTAGTTATAGTATGGTTAGCATTGGTTAGAATACAATTTTAAAGTCACAGGTCAGTTAGTAGTAGTTATGGTGTTAAACATACAACATAAACAACAGTTATTAGTGATTATTTACAGTATCAGTGATTATAATACATGGTTATGGTACTGTGCGCTATGATACAGTTACACACTATTCACACTCTCGCTAGACGGCAGAGCTCAGCAAGATATACACTCTACTATAATAAATTTTAACACATTTACAGTTTCCCAACTAATCTATTGGACAGTACCTCGAGGGACTACCTAAAACTATTTACATCCGTTTTGGTTAGCCGTCGCTGCCCAAGCACCACATATAGCGAACTAGAGGGCGGAATTTACAACAATACCCTTTTAGTCTATCTACTCTATCAATAGTCTAGTGGGTTCCAAATTTACCTTCCCACTTAGCCAAGATAGGTTGAGAACTAGCAAACGATAATGTACACCAGAGTCTGCTTAGTCTCCCGGTCCCTCCGACCTAGCGAACGAAATGTACACCCTAGATACGCTAGTCTAGACAAGACACCCCCACACTCTCAGCATGGTGATGCTGAGGGTGGTGGGGGATGAGGCTGAGGGTGGTGGGAGGAGGCTGAGGGTGGTGATGCTGAGGGTGGTGTGGGGGGTAGTGAGGATGGGGGTGGTGGGGGGTAGTGAGGCTGAGAGTGTGGGGGGTAGTGAGGTCAGAGAGATCAGATGAGTCCTTCAGGACTGTAGTGGACACTGAATACACTAGCCTAGCTATCAATTTCCCTATCAAATCAGCAGTAGCTACACTGTCCCTCCGCTCACTAAGAATGCAGCTTCACAATGAACGTAAAATGGATGCTGTCCATGAGGTGGGAGGGTCTGGGAGGGAGGGTCTGCTGCTGATTGGCTGGAATGTGTCTGCTGACTGTGAGGTACAGGGTCAAAGTTTACTCAATGATGATGAATAGGGGGCGGACCGAACAGCGCATATGTTCGCTGTCCGCAGTGAACGCGAACAAGCGATGTTCGCCAGGAACTATTCGCCAGCGAATCGTTCGGGACATCACTACCTATTAGCTTTGATTTTAATAGCAAAAATAAAGAAATAAAGAAGATTATGGAGGGGCGGCGCCTGACTTCTGATGTGGATGGCAACACACTGATTGAGCTCCGTACCATCAAGCACAGCAAGAGCACAGAAAAGCACGGTCTGCCTCACAAACCTACCCCGGGCCGGCACACCTACGTCCCCGAGAGCACACTAAGCTTCATGATGGGGAAAAAAAAATGAAAAACGACTACGTGGTGGCGCCGATATTCCGCAGCCGCTCAGACAAGGGCCTAACACGCGCTGAGGATCAACGAGAAACTGACTCTGATTCAGACGCCAGCGACATGGAAAAGAACGCACCCGACCTCAATCCAATAACCAGAGGGGACCTCAAAGAGCTATTACGCGACATTAAAGCAAACATGGTGACGGAGCTAGCTAAACATATGGCCCTTATTAGAGAAGGCCTGGAGGACCGTACTAGAAGCACTCTGGCGGTAGAAGACAAAATGGAGGATATCTCCACAACCACTGCAACGCATGACAGGGCACTACAGGAACTCCGCGAACAAGTTCGCGCCCTGGAGGGGGCACAAGAAGATTTGAACAAAAGGTCATGTAGAAAACATGTGAGAATCAGGGGTCTGCCAGAAGCTGTCACACAGGACATGCTATATTCCACACTCTAGGAAACATTCTGTGGTATGCTACCAGAAACACCCCCGGCAGAACTCATCATAGACAGGGCACACAAAGCCCTTAGAGTCCCATCGCCCACAATTACCTAACCCAGAGACGTCATTGTACGTCTACATTACTTTCACGTGAAGGAAGCACTAATGCGAGCCGCAAGAGACACCCCGATCCAAATTGAAGGCCATCAGATCCAACTATTTCAAGACCTAGCTCCTAGCACCTTACTCAAAAGGAAAGCCCTCAAACCCTGGACCCAAGCGCTCTCACAACAGAGGCTCAGATATGCATGGGGACACCCCTTCAAATTAATGGTCCGCAAAGATGACAGGACCTACACGTTGTGACAGACCCATCTGTATG